CCTATGGGGAAGGACTTAGGGAGCTGGGGATGTTTAGCTGTGTTTAAATATTTGAAGGGATGTTAAAGCAGTCTCAAACTGGATTATTTCTGCAGTGTTTTGGACCAGTGTTGATTTTTTTGTATGTTCTGTCTTTTAATGCAAGCTTGTTTTCTGCTGCTCTAGAGATTGGGACATGAAGCAATGGGTTCAAGATCCAGGAAAAGAGACTCCACCTCAACATTAGGAAGAACTTCCTCACGATAAGGGCTGTTCAACCATGGAAGAATCTGTCTAATGGAGTCTCCTTCTTTGGAGGTTTGTAAACAGAGGCTGGATGGCCATCTGTTGAGGGTGCTTTGATTGGGAGTTCCTGCACGGCAGAAGGAGGTCAGACTGCATGGCCCTTGGGGTCCCTTCCAACACTATGATTCTGTGACTCCATTGATTTTGAATGGATTTAATTCTATACAGTGGGCCCTTGGTATCTGCTGAGATTTGGTTCTAGGATTCCCAGTGGATAGCAAAATCCATGTGATGCTCAACTCCCATTATATACAATAGTGTAATAAAATGGCATCCTTTATAGAAAATGGCAAAATCAAGGATTGCTTTTTAGAATTTATGGAGGGAGGGATATTTTCAAGCTGTGGATGGTTGAATACATGGAACAGAGTACGTGGATGCAGACCATAGGTAAATTGTTTTTAAATAGTTAAACTTTCAAATTGGCAATCAATACAAAGAAAGAGAAGAAAACAAAACATAGGAACAAGAGACCTCTTCCTCAAGTTCAGAGAAATCATAGGTAAGTCAAACCAGGAGTGGAGATGCTTTATGACCAGCATGGAAACACTCTGTAAGACCAAGGGGAGGAAAAGACGACAGAAGCAATACACTGAAGGACTGTATAAAAGAGATAAAAGATGACAAATACATTCAAAGAAGAACCTTCTGCCAATGAACTCACAGTTCTAGAAAGGGAAGTGGAAGCTGCTCTCAAAGAACTCGACCATCAGAAATATCAGAATGATAAAAAATGGTTCAGGCCAGAGAGGCAGAAGCCATTCATATTCTAACTACAACATGCCTTAGGATTCATAGAATCATAGAATCCTAGAGTTGGAAGAGACCCCAAGGGCCATCCAGTCCAACCCCATTCTGCCATGCAGGAATTCCCAATCAAAGCATCCCTGACAGATGGCCATCCAGCCTCTGCTTAGTATAATGGAGTATTCCTCTTCCATCCCCTGAGGATTGGAGAAAGAAGTCCAGAGATCATGGTCTTGTCTACGTTTAAAATACTCCTCATTCCAGTTGGACAGAATATGATTCACACGCAATTTGACGGAGTTTGGGTTTTTTGCGGCGAGGGATCGAAAAACTCCTTAAATTCCGGTGGAAAAGTCTTTGCAGTTTTTACTGGCGTATCCACTGAAATTTGCAGAAATGTGCATGAGCGTACATGTGGCCATTCGTCCACCTGCTTTGCAAGCATTTGGATTGATGCACATTTTCGGCAGAGGGGTGATGAATAGATGTGAATACATGCATATTTGCTCAGGAAAGTGAAGACAGTTAACTATCAATGCAAATGTGCGAAAACGCACACATTTAAAAAGTCCAAACACATAAAGCTTTACTTTTCTATCTAAAAAGGGATTGCTGTGTTGGTTATTTTATGCCAATTAACAATTTTATTTTTGCAACATATTTGTACTTCTTAAAACTTTGCGCATCCCCGAAACCTCTCTGCGGCAGTTTGCCGTCCGGGATGGAGGCTTACCTGATGCCCACCAGGGAAAAAGCTGATGGATGTCGAGTCTGCAATGATGACTTCGTATTTGGGGCTCTTGTAGAAACGGGGAAAGAAAAACATGTCCCTGTCCTTGACACAGAGGACCTTTGCCCACTGGTTTGGCTCCTTGCCTTCATCTTCCTTCTGGACACAAGAAGAGAGAGGACCAGAGTCAGTCGGGGCAGAAGAAGGACATCAGCGGGGTTGGAAGAAATCCCAAGGACCCATAGCTTGATTTCAGGAAGGCTTTTGACAAGGTCCCCTATGATATTCTTGCAAAGAAGATAGTAAAATGTGGACTAGACAATACTACTGTTAGGAGGATTAGTATCTGGTTGACTGACCAAGCCCAAAGGATGTTCAGCAATGGCTCCTCTTCTTCTTCATCCTGGAGAGAAGTGAACGGTGGGGTGTCCAGTGGAGTTATGTCCTGGGCCCAGTTTGCTATTGAACATCTTTATCAATGATTTGGATGAAAGAAGAGGGGGCATGCTTCTCAAATTTGCAGATGACACCAAATTAGAAGGAATAACTAATACCCCAGAGGACAGGATGAAAATTCAAAATGACCTTAGATTAGAAAGCTGGGACAAAGCTAACAAAATGAATTTCAACACAGAAAAACGTAAGATACTGCATGCGCACGATGGCAGGGCCCCTCCAGGAGGGCTCCCTCGGCTGCG